AAAAGTTAATGGACAAATGGAGTGAAAAAATGATGGAATTTTTCCATGAACTTTTTGAAGGCCCCTTGTACTTTCAAAAACACTTGCTTGAGGGTAAAACTTTTTACATTGCTTGTTAACAGTCAGAAGGAAATCAGTTGGAAGCTGAATTTCTGCCAAGACAGAGTTAAAACTCTCACTATAAGCTGCAGCCTTCAGCAAACCAAGTACTTAGAATTTAAGCTAATATAGCTCTTTGTGGGAAGAGACAACCTCATCTTTCTCCCCTAGAGCAGCTGATGGGCCTGTGGTTATCAGTCCAGTGCTTATCCTACAGCACCACCAGGACTTTCGAAGTGCTAGTGACTGTTATTCAGTGGATGTGAGGACTCAGGCTGTCTAATTCACAGACAGGCTCAGAGAAGCAACGTACCCAGCGCCACCATGCAAGAGTGTCAACCTGCTGAGGGATCCTTCTATTGCCCTGTCAGGGCCTAAAGAGGAAGTGTTAAAAAACGATCCTGAAGAGATCTCTTCTGTTCTTGTTGGGTGCTGTAGAGTTGATTCTGACTCATAGGAACCCAGTGTGATGGAGTAGAGCTTCCCATGGGACTTTCTTGGCTATAATCTTTACGGGAGCAGAGCCCCAGATCTTTATCCTTGGAGCTGACAGCCCTTAAGTTAGAAGCCAGGTGCTTAACTGTTGCAATACCGGGCACCTTAGATTTCTTCTATAGGACTAAAAAATAGACAACTGGATGCCAGTCTGTGAGCTACTTTGCCAAACTGCTTTCTCCCCTAGAAGCTGACAGCAATCAGTCATACATTAGGGAGGGAATCTTGGGGAGAGTTGAAAACACGGAGTCACAGGAAGTGGGGAATCTGTGAGGACAGGTAAGTGTAAGCCCTATGCAATTTCTGTATATACCATTTTGTTGTTGTTGTTAAGTGCCATCAAGGTGGTTCCAACTCATAGTGACCCTGTATAGGGTTTCCAAGGAGTGGCTGGTGAGCTTGAACTGCCAACCTTGAGGTTCAATCTGACCTTGTGGTCCATTGCATTAAACCACAGGACCACACCAGGACATATATAATTATTTAGTGGCATTAGTTGCATTATTTGAGTTGGACATCCATTCTCACCCTTCTTTTCTAAGTTGCTTCTACCCTATTAATATAAATTCACTGTCCCTTAAGGTTCCTATATAAACTTTAAGTTACCATTGTCAATTTGATTCTCTATATATACACTTTAAATGTTGCAGTCGATTCTGACTCATAGCAACCCTATAGGAGAGAGTAGGACCATATAGTTTTCATAGACGCAGACTTCCACATTGCTGTTAGGTGCTGTCAAGTCGGATCTGACTCCTAGCGACCTTATGTACAACAGAATGAAACACTGCCCGATTCTGCACCTTCCTCAGAATTGTTGCTATGCTTGAGTCCTTTGCTACTGCCGCTGTGTCAATCCATTCAATTGGGGTCTTCCTCATTTTCACTGACCCTTTACTTTTCCAAGTATGTTGTCTTTCTTCAGGTCCCTCCTGATAGTATGTTCAAAGTGTGAGAAACAAAGGCTGGCCATCCTGGCTTCCAAGGAGCATTCTGGCTGTACTGTCCATGAATACTTTCAGTATTCTTCTCTAATACTGTAATTCAAATGCATCGATTTGTCTAGTCTTCTTTATTCATTGTCTAACTTTCAAATGCATATGAGGCTATTGGAAATACCATGACTTGTGTCCGTTGCACCTTAGTCCTCAAACAGACATCTTTGCTCTTCAGCATTTTACAGCGGTCTCCTACAGCAGATTTGCCTAATGCAGTACATCATTTGAGTTCTTGACTGTTGCTTCCATGAGTGGTGATGGTGGATTCAAGCAACATGAAGTCTTTGACAACTTCTCCATTTATCATAATGTTATTTATTGGTCCAGTGGTGAGAACTTGTGTTTTCTTTACATTGAGGTCAGTCCATATGTAGTCTTTGATCTTCATCAGTGTTTTAAGTCCTCTTCACTTTCAGCAAGCAAGTTTATATAATCTGTATCCCGCAGGTTGTTTGTTAATGAGTTTCCTCCAATCCTGATGCCATGTTCTTCTTCATTTCTTGGAATTATTTGCTCAGAGTACAGATTAAATAAGTAGGGTGAAAGGATACAACCATGGAACACACCTTTCCTGATTTTAAACCATTCAGTATTCTCCTGTTCTGTTCTAACAACTGCCTCTTGATCTGTGTACAAGATCCTCATGAGCACAATTAAGTGTTCTGGAATACCCAATCTTTGCAATATTATTTATAGTTTGTCATGATCTACACAGTCAAAAGTCTGCTTATAGTTAATAAAGTACAATATAGATAGTTCTTTAAAAATCATAATGCTCAAGACAGACATTTTTTTACTAGTTAAACTAAAGTATTGTTCAGTTTTAAGAAGACTGCAGGGGATATTTTTGGTTTAAGATTTAAAGATGATTTCAGGGCAATAGTTTCAGGGGTTCATCCAACTTTCATGGCTCCAGAAAGTCTGGAATCCTTGAGACTTTGAAATTATGTTCAGCATTCCCCCCCCCCTTTTTTTTTTATCAGAATTCTTCTAAAGAATCTTAGATATAAATGTTCAGTAATGGTAGCCAGGTACCACTCAATTCTGTTCTCATGGCAAAGGAGGTAGTTTTTTGTTTTGTTTTTTAAGTTTTTATTGTGAACTGAGTGATAGTTTACATGGGAGAACATTGGGCTCTACACCATTGTTTCATTGCAATGATTGCAATCTCCACCGTGCATCACCATTCAACAGTATTTGCTTCCATTCCTTCCATTTATTTTTTGGGGGGCTGGGGCGTGGGAGAGGACGTACACAGAAACACTTAGGAATATGTAATAATTTAAACAACCAAAGGGCACATTCTGCAAGCCTGCCTCCTGGCCACCAGCACCCAGTCCCTCTCTTTCCATGAGTCCAGGGTCCTCAGCTGCTCCCTCTCTCCATGTCCTCATCTCAGAAGGCAGTTGTTCTTAGAAATAATTACCAACACATTCCATGTCCTGACACTCCTTCTTCCTCTGCTCCGAGCCAATACAGACTGATTGTGCCTTGGATCCTTGGATGACTACTTGCAAGTGTTCTTCATTGTTGTGTGTGTGTGTGTTTAATTGTGGTAAATACATATGTAATAAAGTATTGACCATGTCAACAGTTTTTACATGTGCAACTCAGTGGCATTAATTACAATCATGATGTTGGGCACTCATCACCACCCTGGTTCCAAAATTTTCCATCACCCTTAATGGAAGCTCAACGTCTCTCTCTCTCTTTTCAAAAAAAATGTTTTATTGTGACTTATGTGATAGTTTACATGGGAGAACATTAGCTTTACATTCATCCTATCATATATCATTTCATTGCCATGGTTACAATCCCTTCCATGCATCATCAACCAACCAAAGGGTATACACTACAAGCCTGCCCCCCCCAGTCATCAGCACACAGCCCCTCTCCCTCTCTGGGTCTAAAGTCCCCTCAACATCTCTTTAAGCAATGAGCTCTCTCCTAGTCAGTGGATTGTAGTATACTCACACTTGTGGAAACGTCATCACAATGAATATTTTCATCATCCCCAAAAGAAACCCTGTGTCCATTGATGTCATTGAACCCATTCGCACCTACTTCACTCCACCCCCAACCCTGTTGTTGTTGTTAAGTGCCCTCAAGTCAGTTCCTACTCATAGTGACCTTGTTCAGGGTTTGTGAGGTAGATTTGAACCACTGATCTTGCAGTTCAAACCAACCTTGCGGTCCAGTGCTTATCCTACAGCGCCACATCCCCAATGCTAGGCAACAATTGATCTACTTTTAATCTCTACTACATTTGCCTATTCTGGACATTTCATATATATGAAATCACACACTATGTCAACTTTTGTGACCGGATTTTTCCATTTAACATAATATTTTCAAGATTCATCCATGTTGTCACATATGTTATTGTTGTTGTTAAGTGCTATCAAGTCAGTTCCTACTCATATCAAACCCTGGATTGGTTTTCCAAGGAGCAGCTGGTGGGTTGGAACCACCGACTTTGTGGTTAGCAGTCTAGTGCTTATCCTATAATGCCATACCAGGACTCTGTTGTAACATTTATCAGTACTCAACTTCTTTTTATTGCTGAATAATATACTTCTTTTTATTGGTGAATCCTGCTCCTGTCAAGTATTAGCTATGTGACCTTGGGAAGACATTTAACCTCTCTGTGCCTCAGTTTTCGAATTGGGCTGCTAACCTCAAGGCCAGCAGTTTGAAACTACCAGCCATTCCGCAGGAGAAAGATGAGGCTCTCTGCTCCTGCAAAATTTACAGCCTTGGAAACCCTGTGCAGGGTTGCTATAAGTTGGAACCAACTCCACAGCACTTAACAAGAACAAAGTGGAGGTAATAGAAGTGCTTACTCACAGAGTAGAGTCCTGGTGTGGCACTGTGGGTTAATGTGCTGGATTGTAAGATTGGTTTGAACCACAAGGTTGGCGGTTCAAGCTCACTAGCCGCTCCTCAGAAAGCCATACAGGGCTGCTATGGGTTGGAACTGACTCGAAGGCACTTAACGACAACTCCCAGAATTACTCTGAAGATGGAAGAAGATCATACATGCAGAGTCCTTAGAATCTGAGGACCACATGTTTTAAAGGATTATTGTGACTACTATTGTTATTGCATTATTGGTATCGGCTAAGACCACAATTTGTAGTAATAGTCCTATGAGTTCTAATTAGATTCTGTGCATTTGAGTCTGTCACAACTTCTAAAGTTATTATAATGACCAATCTCATCTCTTTGCCTCTTAAGAATGTCAAATGCTCCCTCTGCTGGACAATACCTCAGACTTGGGTTGAGCCCCAGAACCCGCAGATCCTTCCTCCAAGTTTAGTGAAGTGAGTTGATGGCCCTTTAAGAGGTGGTAGCTAGCTCCCAGTTGCTATGGCAACAACTGTACACTTACCAGGTGCAGCGGCAGCCATGTCCTCCAAACTTCAATCCACAGGTGGGAAGAGGGCTGCTGGGGCTGCGAAGGGAAAGGGGCATTGTTTGCTTCCCAGTCCACTTGCGTGGAGGGTGTTTGGAGAATTGTACTAATGGGACAGTCAGTCTTGGGCCGTCCCTGCCTTTCTCCCCAAGGCCCGCCATCTCAGCCTCACCTCTCCTCCCTCCATAGACTCCAAAACTAAGGACCAGCAGCCTTCACACCAGGAGAGTCTGTCACCCCCGAAAGCCAATGCAGAAGCCATCGACTTCCTTGAATCCCTCCGTGAGGCCTGGCAGTGGGGGGGGGAGGGGAGAAGGGACAAAAGTCCGGGCAGCTCAAGTCAGCCGGAGACCTGGGCTCTGTCCTTTCTCAACCTTGATTCTTTTGGGTTTCTTTTGGGAATGGCCCATTTGTTGGCATTCTGCAAGGGAACACCCAGGACTGTGAGGGGGGGTGTTCATCTGTTGACTGCTGCAGAGGTCAAGAGATGGGTACTCCGGGGCCACTGGAAGACAAGGAGGATGAGGATAGGGTGGGTGAAGATATGATCAGGGAGCCAGAGGGTTAAGGCCTAGGAGCCAGGGCTTTATCTGTCTCTATGGAACCCTCACTCCAGAACTTAAAGAGATTCAACTGCTGCTCTTCTCCGAGACTTTGGCCATGGTCTCAGACACAGGGGAGCCCCTGGGAGAGCTGACCATTGACGTACAAAAAGGGAGCTACAGCGACAAACTTGGAATTTTCTCAGAGTGTCTGCTTGTGCATGCCTACAGCCGAGGCTTCTTGAACAAACTACTCTGTGGAAACTCCGTCCTGGGTAGAGCTTCTACTGCCTAACCCATCAAGCCATCCTGCCTCTACCACCCTACCACCTCCCCAGGACCCTTATTCAGGACCAACCCTTTGACTAGAATTTGGGTAAGGGGTGTGGGGTAAGGGGAACTGAATCACCCGAGTGGCCCAGCCTGGACTATCAGTCTCCCTTCCTGTACTCTCTAACCCGTGTCTCCTGTGAAGTTAGAGCTCACCTCCCTCCACTTCTAGGTTACATCTCCGGGAAAATGGAGATCATGGAACAAAAGAGTCAAGAATACATCAAGGTACCTCCTAGGATCCTCAACCTTGGCCTCAATCCAGGGTGAGAGAATGGAAGTCCAGGGAGGGAGGGAGGGAGAAAGGATGTCACTCAGTCCCCTGTCCCATCCATCCCATTCCTCCTCCCCTCCAACCCCTACAGCACAAAACCTGAGAACCAACCCACCAGGGACACTAGAGGTCAGTAACCGGTCCCTTCTGATGACATTCTCAGATATACAATACCAAAAGCCAGTTCATCTTAATCCTTCTGCAGCTCCAAGGGAGAATTGGGGCTGATTCTCTGGGTCTGACATTTTCCAAGGGCTCATCTCCTGGGCCACCTTGTCTCTAAACTCTCCACCTCTGTGCCCCCACTACCCTCCCACCCACTTCACTACTTCTGTAATGTGAATAATTCATACACTGGAAACCACTAAGAACTTTTGCATAGAAACCATTCCTATCTTTAAAAAAGCCTATTTTGAAGCACATTTGCTTTTTAATTTTATATTGTATCATAATATGATTTCTACTTTTGACAAAAAATTTACATTGTGATTTGAATGCAACTTTACAGGGCAAATTGGTTTTCCTTCAACAATTCATACACATTCTGTTCTGTGACCTTGATTGCGATTCCCACAATGTAAGGATACCCTTTCCGTTTCCTCCCTGAATTATTCTATTCGTCCTTCCTTCTGACTTCTAAGCTTTGTTCCTAAGCAAATGCTGCCATTTGGATGTCTTACTCCTGTATTGATAATTCTAAGGCATGTGGACCTCCCCAATGTTACTGGTTACCTTATAGACCTATTGTTTGATGAAAGTTAAGCCATGGGAGTGAGTTCAGTTCCATGTTGGAAGGGTGTCTAAAGATCATAGTCTTGATAGTTTCTGACTTCTACTCTTGAGCTCTAACATGTATGGAAGAGTTTTCATCAAAATCTCACCTTGGTTTTCTCCCCTTTAAAGGAGACTTGGCAAGATGATCTGGAGAAGGGTGTGTTCCATTTGTATAAAATCCAAGGAGCTTGGGTTGTTTAAATGTTTATACATTCCTGAGTGTTTTTGTGTACATTCCCCCACCCCCCAAAACACAAACAACAAACAGAGGGAACAGAAGCAAATCCTGTTGAGTGATGATACATGGAGGAGACTGTAATCATTGCAATGAAACAAAGAGTGTAAAACCGATGTTCTCCCATGTAAATGATCACTCAATTCACAATAAAAACTTTAAAAAAAAAAAAAAAAATCCAAGGGACCCCTTATTATCTCTTTCCATCCTCTGGTCCTTAGTTTCTTGTCCTTCCGATGGAACGGAAGACTAATTTAGTGAGACAAGAAGATCAGCTGGCCATGACCAGGGTTGTCAAGGAGGGAGAGGTAAGCATCAAAGCCAGGTGAGAACTGTCCTCCATCACCTCATCAAAACCATTAGCAGAGACCAGATTGGGTCAGTCCAGGAGACTGAATTGAGGACTGAGCCTGGACCATATAGCTTGACCTCTCTCTCTGTCCTTTCCCAGCTTGAGATCTCAGACACAGATTTATCCTATGCAGGAAGTGAAGACTGAAGTGACTTTTTTCCCCTGGAACTCAATTGCTGGCTTCATCTCTGAGGCTGCCAACCTGGTGATACTGAGAGTGATGGCCTGGCGGCAGATGGTACCCAGCAATGCCCGCTTTCTGGCCTTGGACACAGAGGGAAAACTCTGCTATTCCACCTATGTGAGTGTGCCCCCTGGGCAGAAGACTGGGCCTGGGGGCAAATGAAAAGGTGCAGAGGGGACTAATGGAAGAAAATATAGCTAAACCTCAGGAAAGAGTGAAAAAGATGGTAGGGTCGAGGATGAAACAGGAGGATGGAGGTGGGGTTGTGAGGACAGAAGAAACATAACCAATGTTGTTAGATTAAATGTGGGCAAGAGCTAATGAGAGGGATCAGAAGGTATAGGCGGTGAGGGAACCAACCTTTTCCACACAAAAGTCAGTCTAGGAAAAATAACGGTGGAGGAATGCTTTTAAAGAGTGTAGAGTTTTAAAGTCTGGAAATGCATTATCTCTGATGCACTTAAATATTATTATTTCTCAACTCTGAAGGCCTTCTTATTTTGACTAAAATTTCATAACCCGCATACACCTAGGACTTTCTGTCATGTGTGATTATGAAGTTTCACCACTGTTTTGAGTGAGCCACTTTGGGGACTGAGTTGTCCTTATTTGACCAACTTTGTAAGTTACATGTTGGGTTCCTAACTGCAAGGTCAGTGGTTTAAACCCACCAACCACTTCGTGGAATAAAGATGAATAGAATTGTTACTTAGGGTATGCTTATGGGAACAGACAGTCTGACCTTTCTCCCATGAAGCGGTTGGTGGGTTTGAACCACTGACCTTGTGATTAGCAACTCAACATGTGTTTTATGTTAATACTGTCCTCTCCAAGGCCTCACTGCCTGTCCCTTCCACTCTATTGCCCACCCCCTACCTCATACATAAGTAGTGGTAGTGGTGGTTATGTGCCGTGTGGTTGGTCCTAATCCCTGTAACCGAATCTGCCAACAAGAAGGACTTGTTCAGAGAGATAGCATGGGGACAGGTGAGGGCAAGGCAGACTGGAGTTGGCTATGTGAGGAGATCCTCATGTTAGATTATGTATGCAACTTAAATCTTTTGGCACCTGGGGTTCTGGACAGCCAAGGGTTGCTTTTCATGAAGATGTGAGATAGAGTAAAGAGCCATGCTGAGATTTTGTGGGAGACCCTATTAGGCATTCACTTCACCTCTCCATCCATTTGGATGGCTGCCAGCAAGCCCTGGGCTTCCAGACATTCCAGGTGGGCCGTCAGCAGGCAAAAGTGTTCATCGTGGAGCAGACAGTCCACTCGGAGGAGAACATCCCCATGTCCTGCCAGTTCTACCTGTTCTCTGATGGGTGAGCCACTGTGTGGGGCCAATGGGGTGGTGCCAAGCACAGACTTGGGTGTTCAAAGATGGAGGTGGGGAAAGGGCAAAGGAAAGATAGCTGGTTCTGAGTACTCCACCAGGAAGAGGAGCCACTAAGATCTGAGCATCCCCTGCTTCATCCACATCCTTCACTCTTTCTTCATTCATTCGCTGATTTGCTGAATCCTCACAGTGCTTCCCAAACCTCCTCACCAAAGAACCTTGAAGGGCTGAGAAACCAATGCTGGCCTCCAGGGGTCTAAAGCAAGCTAAAGCAGCTGTGGTGGGAGTTGGGTTTAATACTGAGCAATAGTAAGTTGTGAACGACTTGATAATTGAGTAAGAAACGTCCCTGGCATACAGACAAGCTGTCACCAGCAAAGCAGCAGTGTCAAATTCTGAGAAAACTCGGGTGGGGAGAATTTGTTTCTTGACATTTCATAAGAGCTATTAGAGTCCTGGTGTAGGACAAGTACTGGACTGCAAACCACAAGATTGGTTGTTCAAACCCACCAGTCGCTCCTATAAAGGGTCATTGTGAGGCAGAACTGACTCAACAGCACACAACATCGACATCGTCGCTACACTGGGGGACTAAAAAGTCCTCAGCGTGCTATTGGCTTTTTTTATTTCATAATTTAGTAAGTAGTTTCTATTTTGAATTTCACATAAGACACTCCTGATTTTTTTTTTAGTGCTTTCACCTGGAAAGGTGTCAGTTCAGCTGTGGCGCACTGGCCACCTGCTTGAGAAGCAGGGGTATCATACTTGCTGAGTCCTGTACATGATCCATTATTGGGGGATGCAGAGATGAACAAGACCCAGGCACTCTAAGACAAATGAGGGAGGCAGAAGTACAAGGAGGTCCCCAGAAGAGGGCTGGAGGGGTGGGTGTCTGAGAAAGTACCCACACCCGTATGTTCTTCCATGTTACACACTAGGCACCTGGCCAAGAGAGTGCAGGTGGGCTCCCCCGGATGCTGTATCGTCACCAAGATGCCCATCTTGAGGGAGGAAGGTTAGTGATGCTCTAATGTGGGAGAGTGAAGGGGAACAAACTTGGTAATTTCCAGGTGCATCGTTGCCCCCTTGTGCAGCCTGCAGAAGATCCCCACTCAGTGTGCTATGGGTGGGATCCTGCTTGAGAGCAGATGGGGAAAGTCTGTCCTCCAGCCCCTACTCCAAGGCAGTTAGGGAGAATCTTTCTTGTGGGAATCCCTTCCAATGACTCTGCCCATAGAGTTTTACCTGCGCCTGTTGTCTGTGTGGTCCTTGGAAGGTTCTTGGAGTCCCTGGGTGCTGACTGAAGGGTTGAAGGTTCTAGTTTATTTAGAGGTACCTCCAAAGAAAGGCCTGGCCATATATGTCGAAAACCCAGCCATTGAAAACCCGAGGAGCACTGTCTGACATTTATGGAGCCACCAAGTCTGTTTAGCAATGTTCTACAGCCCTAGTAGCGTAGTGGTTACGAATCGGGCTGTGAACCTTGAGGTCAGCAGTTCCAAACTACCAGTTGTAAAGGGGGCGAAAGACGAGGCTTTCAGCTCTACAGCCTCGGAAATCCTGTACAGGGTTGCTATGAGTCGGAACTGACTCCACAGACCATAACAACAACAAGAGTGGGGGTGGGTGGGTATTTTCCCCCATCTAGATGAGATTGAACCCCCTCCGGTGTTTGAGGCGAAGCCCCTGCCCTGGGAGGAGGACCTGGAGCTCTACTCTAAGTTCCTGGATCGGAAGGTGAGAAGTGGCTGGGGTCCCCATTCCTTCCTCTGCTATAAATTCCACACACTGATTTCCCTTTGTATCTGATTCACCTCCACCCGTTCCAGGGCTGGAAGGTTACCCGATTCCACTCGAACTCCGGCTCTCTCTTCCCACCCCCACCCCCAGGAGGAGCTCCGACTCAGCCACGCCAGCTACATGCGGCACCACCCACAGGCTCAAGCGCTCATCTCCGACTTCCTGCTCTTTCTGCTGCTGCGCCAGCCCGCAGACGTGGTCACCTTCGCCGCAGAGCACTTTGGACCCTTTTCGGTGCACAGCCAACCAACCTCCGCCTTACGCTCTTCCAACCGGCCCAGCCCTTTCCGCTCGCTGGTCCCGAAGCTGTCCTTCCGCAAAGAGTCCCCGCCCTCCCCGGACGAGGCCTAAGGGCCGCGAGCTGCACTGTGCGTTTGGCCGGGGCCCGCGCGGACTGAACGCACAGTGGAGGACGCGTTTCCCTCTGGCTGCGGTTATTGTGGGAATAAACAGGATCCTCCCGCAACTCTGCTATGCACACTGGAATCGTCCTTGGCCAGCGTCTCATGACTTCTAAAAATAGGAAACGCGAACAGCTTCGACTATGTTAATCTCAGTCTTTCTAGGAAAGACTATTATCGGCATTTTGCTTGTATGACAGATAAGAAAATAGAGGTGCAGAAAGAAGAGCTTGCGTGCAGTCCTGGTGTGGCGCTGTAGGATCGGCACCGAACTGCTAACCTCAAGGTTGGCAGTTCAAACCCACCAGCTGCTCCTTGGAAACCCTTTACAGAGGTCGCCACTCAACAGCACTTAACTAGAGCTAGCTTGTGGAGAAGCAGGATTGGAGCCCAAACTCTTAACCGTTAGTGTAGTGCAGATGGAGGGACCTTGTGCCTTGATACTCAATCTTTATGGAGACTGCTTAGCATAATTGCCCTCCCCACCCCACCTCCAAATTAAAAGAACACAGGATGGAGGGAGTGGGGCTTGGAGCCCTTTGACCTTAATCGTTGCTTCCAAAGTCTCCCAAAACGCCCTGATACAAAAGAGCTGGCAAACTATAGAGAGATCCCAAACCTCCTCCTGGTTCCCACTGACAGAGAGAAAACCCAGATTTCTCCGTTCCCGAAATATAGGAACCTCAAATTGTGTAGCATCGACTCCTGCTCTCCTCCCCATTCCTTATAGCTGGAAGAGCCCTCAACTGCATAAGGCCTTAGTTTCCCAATTTCTCCCTGAAAAAAATGGTTGGGCAAGTGAAGCCACCTCCCTTAGACTCCCTATTTGACATCAGTTGTGGCTAAGGGCTTGTTTCTGCCTGCTGCCTGAGGCTCAGTAGCTTTGTAAATATCAAACATGAGCACTTAAGGCCAGCTGGTTTTGGGGGTGCCAGTTCCACCCTCCACCCATTCATTTACCAGATGCTGTTATTTAGTATCTTTTGATTCAAGAGGAGACAATGATGCCTGAGTGGGAATCAACTCAGGGTACACTACAACACATGTGAGATAAACAACCTCCGTCAGTTTGTCTGACTTGGCTAGTGTGTTTCTATGATGCTGAAGGCTATGCCCTCAGTATTTCAAATATCCGCAGAGTGGTGGGCAGGTTTCAGTGGCGCTTCCTGACTAAAACTGACTAGACGTAAAGCCTCATGACCTTCATCTGAACATTGTTGTTAGGTGCCATCGAGTCAGTACCAACTCATATCAACCCTGTGCACAACAGAACGAAACACTGCCCGGTCCTGGGCCAACCTCACAATCGTTGCCACACTTGAGCTCGTTGATGCTGCCACCTTGCCAATCCATCTCGCTGGGGGTCTTTCTCTTTTTCTCTGACTCTACACCTTACAAAACGTGGTATCCTTCTCCAGTGACTGATCCTTCCTGACAATATGTCCGAAGTATGACACATGAAGTCTGGTCATGTGCAGCACTCTGGCTGCACTTTTTCCAAAATAGATCTATTGGTTCTTTTGGCAGTCCATGGCACTTTCAATATGCTCCTCCAACACCATAACTCAAACAAATAATTTCTTCTACGGTTTTCCTTATTCACTGTCCAACTTTGGCATGCATATGAGGTTATTGAAAATACCATGGCATGGGTCAGACACACCTTAGTCCTCAAGCTGATATCTTTGCTCTTCAACACTTTAAACAGGTCTTATGCAGCAGATTTGCCTAATGCAATATGTCTTCTGAACATTAGCCAATGAAAACCCTGTGGCTCACAACAGAACGTTCTTGGATTCACTCTGTTGTACTTGGAGTCACCATGAACCAGCTAACAACTAAGGACAGTGACACCTCAAGATGAGCGACTACAAAGAAGTTTTGCACTCTAGGGGACAAGATGAGCCAATAGCTACAGATCTGGGAGGGGGTGGTAATGGGGCTGGGGTAGGGGGAGTGAGGAATCAGGAAAGTTGGCATGGAGAATTCTCATTTGAGTTAAGCCTTGGAGAATTAAAAATACATATATGAATATATCTTTTATTATCCTTTTTCTCTCTTAAAAAGAAATGCATGTATATTAGTGAAAACTTTAAAAAGCAAGGTAAACCAAAATTGAAAAAAATGAAACCATGTCAATTCCTCTATCTAGATAGAAGCAGCCACTCTTAGCATATTGGCAATGCCCTCACTACTCTTGGTTTTTGGCATAAGTGTTCTGATGTTTGTTGAACATTCATTCCATCAAGTGCTTTTGTAGATTGTTTTATCTCATCTCCACAATTCCAAGAGGGAGTGACTTTATTAGTATTCTTATTTTAAACAAAAATGAGATTATGTAATGCACATTCATTAATTGTTAATTGCATTCTTATTTAAATTCTTATAAAGCCTTCAAATTTTACAGCTAAAGCTGAAGTCATCGACTCCCACTGCAGTCCCTTGGTGGTGGTGGTTAAGTGCCTTCAAGTATTTTCTGACTCATAGTGACTCTGTAGAGGGTTTCTGATGAGCAGCTGGTGGTTTTGAACCACTGACATTGTGGTTCACCATCCAGTTCTGATCCTACAGCTCCACACCAGAAGTCCAGTCCTTTAGTGTTTTATAATCATCTCTCAAATGTTCTAATGGACTGTTTCATTTAACAATATATTTTGAAGATCTTTTCATGACATTACGCAATCTTCTATTTTTGATGGGGATGTGTGTGTGGCTGTGCCCGTTTTTAACTCCTCCTCCCTCCTCCTTTCCCCTCACTTTCAGCTACTATAAACAGTGCTGCATTGAACATTCTTGTAGCTATATATTTGCATATATCAATAATCATTTCCTTAAGAGTATATTCTGAGAAGCAGAATTGTTGGATAAATTTTAAGACTTATTTTTTGATTTGTTAATTTATTGGAAAATTCTAGGTGGGTGAGATTTTCATTAAGAGTCTGATGAACATTCTTTAAAGAGATGGAAAAACTAATCACTAAATTTACGTGGAAAGCAAAAAGACCCCAGATAAGTAAACCATTATTTAAAAAGGAGAACAAAATAGGAGGCATCTTACTTCTCAATCTCAAAACTGACTTACTATACAACCACAGTAGTCAAAATAGCCTAGTATTGCTACAACAAAAGACACATAGATGAATGGAACAGAATTGAGAACTGAAAAGTAAATCCATCCATCTATGGTCAGTTGATCTTTGACAAAGGGTCAAAACACAATGAATGGAGAAGAGATAGTCTCTTCAACAAAGGGCACTGGCAAAATTGGAAATCTGTTTGAAGAAAAATGACAAAAGACCCATATCTCATGAAATATGCAAAATGACCTCAACGTGGATTAACGACCTAGAACTATACAGATCATCAATGAAAAAAATAGGAACAGACTTAAAAGTTCTGATTGTTGTTGTTGTTAAGTCAGTTCCGATACATGGCAACCGTGTATAGGGTTTCTGAGGAGCAACTGGTGAGTTTGAACTACCAGCCTTGTGGTACAAACTGACCTTGAGGTCGAGTGGTTATAGAAAGGCGCTACATCAGGATCTCTGATACATGGTATAAATACACTATCAAACAGAACGTAAACACACAAACAGAAGACAAAATGGATGACTGGGACCTCCTAAAAATTAGACACTTAAGAGAATCAAAAGATTTCACCAAAAGAGTAAAAAGAGAACTCACAGATTGGGAAAAAATGCTTGGCAACCTTCAGCTACCAAAATTGGGGGCTACAAAGACATGAAGTGGCTGGCTTACAAACTTTCATGAGGGTGCTTAGTATCAGAATGGGGGAGTAAGACAGAAACTCAATTGAATAATTTCTTTCCTGTCCAGATGGGTCTGGTGATGAGAAGGATAAGACTTTATGATACAATTGTGAGTAATGGCGATTGTCACAACTCTAATGGCGATTGTCACAACTATAAATATAGACAAGGTGCAGCTAAAAGGGGGAACAGTTAATCTGTCATTTCAGGAACAGAGGACCCTAGGACCATCAAGAGGGAAGATCATGAGAGGAGCGAGGGATCCTGACTAGAAACGCAGCGACAACAGAGATGGTGGCAGAGGTGATGGCATAGAGAGACAGAGCCATGGACTGAGAAAAGCAGCGTGCCTACAGACAGGGAGTTGGCTTGCACAATGTGCCCTTTGGACATTTAAACAAATATATATTTACAATGTGGTATGTGTACACCAAAAAAAAAAAAAAAAGGTAATACAGGTAAATACTGTTGGCTAAGGGTGCACAGAAGTGATTGTAATCATTACAATAATGTAAAAATGGTGATCTGTCCTGTAAGCTTTCACTCATTCATTACACAATAAAAGCTTTGGGGGAAAAAAAAGTTTGGCAACAATATATCAGACAAAGGACTACTCTCCAAATTTTATAGAATACTTCAATGCCTCAACAAGAAGACAAATAAACTTGTTAGAAAATGGGCAGAAGATATGAACAGACACTTCACCGAAGAAGACATTCAGGCAGTCAACACACATGAAGAAATGCTCACTATCATTAGCCATTGTTGTTGTTGTTGTTAAGTGCTGTTGAGTCAATTCTGACCCATAGCGACCCTGTATAGGGTTTCCAAGGAGCAGCTGGTGAGCTTGAACAGCCGACCTTGCAGTTCAAATGGTTTTGCAGTCTGGCGCATTAATCCACAGTGCCATACCAGATATGCAAATCAAAATAACAATGTTGTTTTTGTTGTTGTTAGTTGCCATAGAGTTGGTACCGACTCACAGCAACCTTATGCACAACAGAATGAAACACTGCCTGGTCCTGGGCCAACCTCACCATCCTTGCTACACTTGAGATCTTTGCTGCTGCCACTGTGCCAATCCATCTTGTTGGAGGTCCTTCTCTTCTTCACTGACCCTCCACTTTACCAAGCATGATGTCCTTCTCCAGGGGCTGGTCCCTCCTGATAATATGTCCAA